AGGTGAGTGAGAGGACATGAGAGTCTGGCAGGTCGTGTGGGGCCTCGTGGGCCTCGAGGGCCCCGGGAAGGACTCAGGCTTTGACCTGGAGCGAGAGGGAACCATGTGACCTCTAACCTCGGAAAACAGTGGAGCTGCAGATGAGAAGAGGCCTCAAGATCAGCAGGGTGAGTTGTCTCCAGGTGACTTCTGTGAACAGGACCTATGACAAACCAGGGGGAGGTGGGGGGCTTATGGTGTTAAAAAGGATTAAATTTTCCTCCCAGGTTAAAATTTCTTCCCATTATGGTGGGACAAGGGCTCAACTTAGATATCAAAAAGTAGAAAATAAAATTATGTTTCTTGCAAACCTAAGTTCTGGCCTGAGAGGTGGACCTATGATCTATTTTTAAAATATCCTTCTGGCTACCATGTGGGTGGGGATTGGAGGGCATCCCCAGGACTGGGAGCCAGGAGGAGCGCGGGAGGCTGGGGCTGGACCGGGATGTGGCCGTGAAGGGGAGGATGGGGCGGGAGGGAGCGGGGAGAGGGAGGTGCCCGGGATGAGGCTCAGGGCTCTGGCCTAGGACTAAGGGATCATGAGGGCCCCCCGAGAAAGAGACTAGAAGGAAGAGCAGGTTTGGGGGAGATGCTGTGGCCAGTTTGGGACACTATGGGAGTAGGAGCCCAAGAGGAGGCGTCCAGCACAAAGCCCAGAGCGCCAGAGTGAACAAGAGGCCGACTGTGTCCCCAGAGCCATAAGCCAGTGCTACCCCGAACATCTGCCGTTGGAGTCTCACTTTCCCACACTTTGTCGCATATCTACACCTCACCAGTACACTTAGCTACTTAGTAGTGTGCTTTAAATCAACTCACTGTTGTTTTTTTTTTTATTTATTTAACACATTTATTTAAACAGGAAGTGTTATTTCACTGCAGGAAGTGGAAAACCAGTGTCAACTGCCCTAAATAGAATCTAATAGCACAAATAAATCCGACGATTCAGCAAGGATCCAAAGGAGGTGCTGAAAGCATGGGGTGACAGCTCGTTGGGGGACAGGTTGTTCACAGGGTCTCAAGGTGCCACCCACAGATGACATCATAATTCAAAGGGGGAGAGATCTGGCAGTCACTGCCTGTTATGGGCTGAATTATGTTCCCCCCAAAATTTGTATGTTGAAGTCCTAGCCCCTAGTACCTTAGAATGTGAGTGTATTTGGAGAAAGGGCCTTTAAAGAAGTAATTAAGTTAAAATGAGGTCAGAGGGGTGGGCCCTAAGCCATGATGGGTGGTGTCCTTATAAGAAGAGATTAGGACACCTACGCACGGACGGAAGACCATGTGAAGACGAAGGGGGAAAAGGTCCATCTACAAGCTGAGGAGAGAGGCCTCAGAATGAAATCACCCCTGCCGACACCTTGATCTCAGACTTCCAGCCTCCAGAGCCGTGAGAAAACAGATTTCTGTTCTTTAACCACCAGTCTGTGGCATTCTGTCATGGCAGCCCGATCAAATTAATGTACTCCTTAACTCGATGGGCAGAGTTAGCATCGCTGATCATGGGGCCCCTGATGGGATGTCCTGAGAGAGACACAGTGTCCCCTCTGCAGTATTTGTCCCTTATCTGCAGGCCTGGAATCTAACCATGAGGAAACACCAGACGAATCCAGAAAGTGGGACTGTCCTCCAGACATACTCATCCAGAATATAACGAACTCCTTCAACTCAACAACAACAAAAAACCCAAATAACCCAATTTAAAAATGGGCAAAGGACTTGAGTAGACATTTCTCCAAAGATGATCTACGAATGGCCAACAAGCATATGAAAAGATGCTCAACATCACGAATCATTAGAGAAATGCAAATCAAAACAACAATGGGCATGTCACCTCAGACCCATTAGGATGGCTACTATCAAAAAAGCAGAAAGTAAGTGTTGGTGAGGATGTGGAGAAATCAGAACCCTTGTGCATGGTTGGTGGGAATGTAAAATGGTGCTGCTGCTATGGAAAACAGTTTACAGCTTCCTCAAAAAATTAAA